GGCCGCTCTCCCCTTGCCCTGCAGGGCCAGGGTTCTCTCGGGGATGGCCTTCTTGCAGCTGCCAGGTCCCAGCAGGGGTGCCCTGCCCAGGAGGGGCCATTCCACGGGAGGCGTCAGTGGTGGAAAGGCCATTTCTTGGACTCCAGGCTCCAAGGAGCTGGGGCTCATGCTGCGTGTGTGGGTGGGAAGGCTGCCTCCAAAGGCCGTGTCAACCGAGAGAGACGCTTGTGGGTCCTGCCTTCTCCAGGGAGCCTCTTGAGGACACAGGCCGAGTCTGCCTCACCCTGGGGCCTGGCTGGGACTGCCGTGTGCAGCAGTGTGATGGGCTGGTGGGTCACTTTGGGGAGATGGACCTGGGCTCCTCCCCTCTGTCTGATGAGGGAGCTCCACACCTGAGGTCTGTCCTTCAGGCTCTGGGCCGGGGCGGGGGGGTTCCGTCAGGAGGCTGTGGGCTGTGTGGGAGGAAGGGTCCAGAAATCCAATCCCATCACTGCTAAGTCCTGTTGCTATCCTGCTGGGCCTGCCGCAGACGGGGCCACCCTGCCACCCGCGGATCCCCCTGGCACAACCCTGCTAGGATCCTTTCTAAGAGGATGAAAGGGGGTCTCAGAGGGTGTGGCCACTGGCCAAGGCCCACGCAAGAGGATGCTGGACCATCCCAGCTCCTTTGAACTGGACGCTCTGGGGCCACCTCCCTGTTAGGAATGAAAATGCTGCCCTTCGCGGTGGCTCAAGCCTGTAATCCCAGCACTTTGGGAGGCCAAGACGGGCAGATCACAAGGTCAGGAGATCGAGACCATCCTGGCTAACACGGTGAAACCCCGTCTCCTACTAAAAAAATACAAAAACTAGCCAGGCGAGGTGGCGGGAGCCTGTAGTCCCAGTTACTCGGGAGGCTGAGGCAGGAGAATGGCATGAACCCGGAGGCGGAGCTTCCAGTGACTGAGATCCGGCCACTGCCACTCCAGCCCTGGGCAACAGAGCAAGACTCCGTCTCAAAAAAAAAAAAAAAAGAAAAAAAAAAAAAAAAGAAAAGAAAAAAAAAGAAAATGCCGCCTTTGTGTGACAAGATGAAGCCAACTGCTTCCGCCAAGGGCTCAGGCACGGCGTCTAGGGGATTCGCACGCACCTGCGTGGGGCTCGGTTTCTCGCAGTGGACTCCCAGTCGCTGGGTTAGGAAACTGAGTCTGTGCGGGACAAGCTCTGCGGGACGGTGCCCTGGCCGGGATCCAGGCGGCTGGCTGTCCACCACCCTCCCCAACCCTCTGTCTGCTCGCCGGAATGTGGCCCTTCCTGGGGGAGCCAGTGACTGCCCAGCCCAAGAGCCTGGAGCTCCGGCCCTCGCAGGGCAGCTCACACTCTCGCAGGCTCCGAGGAGCTTTTTGGCGACCCTGTCACTCATCCATCCAGGTTCAAGTTAACATTGGTGACAATTCACCGTCATTCTGTGTCTCATTTGCAAGCTGAAGATCACGCTACTGTCTTTGCCTCCAGTCATAATGCACTCCGAGCTGGGTGCAGTGGCTCACGCCTGAAATCCCAGCACTTTGGGAGGCCGAGGCAGGTGGATCACTTGAGGTCAGGAGTTTGAGACCAGTTTGGCCAACATGGTGAAACTCCATCTCTACTAAAAACACAAAAACTAGCCAGGCTTGGTGGTGTGCACCTGTAATCCCAGCTACTTGGGAGGCTGAGCCAGGAGAATCACTTGAGCCGAGGAGGTGGAGGTTGCAGTGAACCAAGATCATGCCACTGTACTCCAGCCTGGGCAACAAGAGTGAAATTCTGTATCAAAAAAAAAAAAAGAAAAGAAAAGAAAAGAAAACAAAGCACTCCCGTAGACAGAATCCGGCAGGTTCTGCTGCTGTCCTGAGTCACGCTGAGAATGCAAGGGTGTAGGTGTCAGCCCCAGGGGATGCTGGGCCTGACGCAGGCTGGCTTCCAAGGAGCCTTGTCCATGAGGATTCAAGACAGCAAACATTGATTTCATATTTTTTTTTTTTTTCTGAGACGAAGTCTCGCTCTGTCGCCCAGGCTAGAGTGCAGTGGCGCGATCTCCGCTCACTGCAAGCTCCGCCTCCCAGGTTCACACCATTCTCCTGCCTCAGCCTCCCGAGTAGCTGGGACTACAGGCGCCCGCCACCTCGCCTGGCTAATATTTTGTATTTTTAGTAGAGACGGGGTTTCACCGTGTTAGCCAGGATGGTCCCAGTCTCCTGACCTCGTGATCCGTCTGCCTCAGCCTCCCAAAGTGCTGGGATTACAGGCGTCAGCCTGCGCGCCTGGCCTGATTTCATATTCTAAGGAAAAGGCAGTGCAGCTCCTTTGGGAAGCTCGGACTCCCGGCCTGCTACGCCTCAGCCCGACCCCAGACACAGCCAACAGGGCTGACGTCCTCGGGAAGACGCTGTGACCTCAGACAGGCCTCGGGTTTCACCTGAATCCCAGGGGCTGGGACCTGCCCTTGTTTAGTTTCCACGTGGAAACCAATTTGGGACGTTTGTGACCCAGAGCAACCCTTTCAGTGGTTTTGTCCTTTCCTTGGAGAAGGGGCTGGGACCAAGAAGGCTGGACTCGCGAGGCGTCCCAGGGTGCAGCCGGGCCCTCGTGTTTCTCCGTGCGTTTTCCAGAAAGCCTCCGTCCCTGCCTCAATTATGGTTTGGCTCTGTCGCTATTCCGGGTTTCACCACTGTCATATTTGAGCAGAGCTTTTGCCCCAACCAGGGATGAGAACATTGTCTGCCAGCCTCCTCTGTAGCCTGAGAGGCCACGGGCAGGCAGAGGGGGAAGGTGGAGTCCTCCAGCCAGGGGAAGCGCCAGGCCAGGCAGCCTCTGCTGTGTAATCTGACAGGCGTAAGGTCGTTCATTATGTGGTTTCACCTGCCGTGGCCACCGCCAGCAAGTGTGTGCGGAGGCCGGTGCCTGGCGAGCCTCGGGGAAGCTGCCGAGTCCCTCACTTCCCCCAGTCAATCCCCGCAGCCTTGCGCAAAGCTTGGTTAATTCAAAAACTGTCTTTGTCTGCATTAAAACACCTTTATCCCTGGTATTAATGTCCTGGCCAGAACAAATTACCATAAATTTGGTGGCTTCAAACCGCAGAAATGTGTGCTGTCTCAGTTCCGAAGGCCAGAAATCCAAAATCTGGGTGTCACAGGACCAGCCCCCGTCCCAAGGCTCTAGGGAGGATCCCTTCCTCCTCCTCCAGCTTCTGCTGGGCGTGGGCAACCCCTGTGCTTCCTGGCTTGGGGCTGCACGTCTCCAGCCTCTGCCCGTCTCCACAGCGCCTTCTCCCCAAACCTCCCTCTCCTGCTAAGGGTCCCAGTCACTGGATTAGGGCAGGCCCCATTCTAGCGTGGCCCTGTCTTAAGTCGACAACATCTGACATCTGCAAAGACCCATCTCTCCAAAACAAGTCCCGCTCACAGGTTCTGGGGGGATCCAGCGTGTCTTTTGGGGGAACCCACAGCCCCTCATGAGTGACGAGTGACAGACCTGGAGCCCATTCCTGGGGGTGGAGGGAAGCACAGGGGAGAAGGAGAAGGAGAAGGGCGTGGATGGGGCTGGGCTTGCCCCATCGTTGGAGGGACTGGCACACAAGCCTGGCCCAGGCTGGAGGCACCAGCGAGCACTGGCTGTTGTCAATCCTGGGCCCCAGCGTTGGTCCACAGGGCCAGGACGGCCAGGGTCAGGGTGTGATCAGAGTCACTTGGCTGAAATGTTCTTCCCCAGATGCCTGCATGCAGGGGGCTCACTGTTCACATCTCCCTCCTTCCACAAGGGCCTCCGTCCTGGCCACTGTCCCCCAGACCCTGCGCGGCAGGGAAGGGGCTCCGTGAATACACTCTCAGTCCAGGGGAAGCCCTCCTACCCCTACCAGGTGCACATCCTGCTGCCGTTTGGATCTTGTCAAAACCTAAGTCAGTCATCTGTGCCCAGCGTGAGGGCGGCTGGGTCTGCAGTCCAGGCTCAGTCAACGGGAGAGGCAGGGCCCAGGGGGCCTCTTCTCACAGCACCAGGTCTGTTCCTGCCGACCAACAGGCAGACAGATGACAGACAGACGACAGAGAGGCCGGTGCGGCCTGTCCAGAGCTGCTGCGCTCAGCACACCTCAGTCAGGGTCCCCGGGCCCCGTCGGTCCTCCGCAGCAGCCTTGGAAGAACGGGGCCCCACACAGCCCTCTCCCCAGCCGTTCTCTTTCTGGCTCACAGAGCTCCCAGGCTCTAGGGGCCGCAGCTGGGGGGTGCTCCATGCAGTCGGCATCTGCGTTCCTTCACTTTTCTTCCCTTGAATGAATTCCAAGCCCCACTGTTCTAAGGAGGACCAGACGTTACTTCAACCGCACTCAGGACCCCCAGCTTTGGGGAAAGGAGGATAGACCCCCCCCATGAGTGAGGGCTGCCGGCAGGGCGGGGAGAGAGGCGGCTGGTGTCAGATTCATTGCAGTGGCCCACCTCCCCCCGCCACCCCCCCAAGAGGGGCTCCCAGGAACGGAGGGACCCTCCAGCCAGCCCCACGTCACCAAGGAGCAGTGGCAGAAGTGAGCCTCCCAACACGGACACTCATCCCCGCCAGAAGAGTCCTGGGCTCACCACCCCTTCCCAGCCCGGACCTCAGTCGATGGCAACCCAAGAGTGAAGAAACCAAGACATTCTCTGAGGCCCTCCCAGAGACCCTTCAAGACCGAAAGGCTGGCCGGGTGCGGTGGCTCACGCCTGTAGCCCCAACACTTCGGGAGGCCCAGGCGGGCAGATCACCCGAGGTCAGGAGTTCGAGACCAGCCTGACCAATATGGTGAAACCCTATCTCCACTAAAAATACAAAAATTAACTGGCGTGGTGGCGCACACCTGTAATCCCAGCTATTTGGAGGCTGAGACAGGAGAATCGCTTGAACCTGGGAGGTGGAGGTTGCAGTGAGCTGAGATCATGCTATTGCACTCTGACCTGGGCTACAGAGTGAGACTCCATCTGAAAAAAAAAAAAAAAAAGACCGAAAGGCTACGAGATGCACCCAGTAGGTGGGTGCTCAGTGTCCCAGATACGTTCGCCACCCCTGGGGCAGGCTCTGAATTTGAGTCCCTGAAGGTGGGTCTGTGCAGCATCCCCAGCAAGGAGGGGAGGGGGCCCTGGGGTCCCCCTGTCTGCTCCACCACTGCAAGCCCCTGGGAACAGGCAATGCCATCCCACGGCAGCCTCTGGCCTTCACTTGCTACAAGTGAGTTTATCCCCCTCTCCATCCTAGAGATAGCCGGTCTGATTTATGTTGTGCAAAGGTCCTCAAGTGACTGGCGTATCCCTCGGAGACAGGCTCCGGGAGGCGCTGGGAATCCGCACTTCCAGCTGGGGCCACGCAGTCCCAGCCACATTAAACGCTCAGACTTTTCTTGCTGATTTTTGAAAATTATTGCACCAAATGTTTACCAGTGAAATGCTGATCGTGATGATAAGAAGGCTGGGGAGGCCAAGAAAAAAGGGAAGAGAGAGTGCAGCTGCACACCCTTCTCCGGGTCCCAGAAGCACCGCTCTCCTGCGTGTTCAACTGGCATTTGCCACCAACATGCCTGTTTTTATTTAAATGGCCCAGGGCAAGGCTCTGACTAAACTAACATTCCCACGCCAACACTCAGCAGCGCCTCTGGTTTTTGGCAATTTTTTTCCTTAGCTGTCAAAGTAAAAATATAGAAGAGTCCTGGTCTTACTTAAGGCTTAGGGCTTTTTCCCTTCCCCCTGGAGACCCGAAAATAGCTCACAGATGTGCGGTACCTGCTAACGTTCGTGCTCCGTGTTACTTCACGAATAGAACTCCCCGTGCTCTCTGTAACCCAAACCCCGATTTCCAGGCCCATGTTCATTTGCAGAGGGGTCCGTGGGGGTCTGTGGGGGGAAGTGTGGGGGGACGGAAGTTCTCAGCTTGTTTAAATGTGTCTGGAGCAGATGGGAGGAAACTCCGGCCGCCTGAGAAACTCTCGCCTCAGGCAGGAGCTTCTCCATCACCCCAGCAGTGAGGTCAAGGATGGCCCAGGCTCCACTCAGGGGACCAGGCACAGGCTGGGTGGGGTGGGGGGTGTGGTCAAAGTCCTTCGGGGGCTCCTGGCTCTGCTGGTGGCTCCGTCGGGACAAACGATTCTGCTTTGGGACACCAACATCATCCTTCTAAGATTAAAATAAACTTTTTTTTAAAGGGGGGTTTCCAGCTATTTTTACCCCCGGAAAGGAAGAAAGGCAAAGACGGAGGAAGGGAGGAAGATGAAAGGAAGGAAAGAAGAGAGGGAGAGAGGGAGGGAAGAAAGAGAAATAAAGCAAAGAGAAAAAGAGGGGGACCGAGAAAGGGGGAAGGAGGAAGGAAGGAAAGGGAGGGGGAGGGGCCACCCGGTCTGGCTTTCCCAGTGACTCAGCCCTCGGAGGCTCGGGGTTTGTACCAGAGCCCAAGGGGTGGAGCCTCGAAGTTTCGTCCCCCGGGGCTCTTACTTTTTGGAGAAAGTTCTGAGGTGAGGGGGGCATGGGCCAGGCAGCGTGGAAGTCTCCCCCACAGGCTCTGCAGGGGTCCCTGGGACTGAGTAATTTGGGATCATGGGGTCTGGGGGTAGTGAGGGGATATGCGGGGTGCAGATGGACCTGGTGGCCAAGCTCTGCCACCCCACTCAGAGCCTCAGTGCCCCCATCCAAGAACCAGACATCGTGACAGCCTCCCTGTCTGGTCCAGCCCCCCACGGGCCCTGCCTGGAGGTTCCAGCCCCGGTGCTAAGCCTCCTCGGTGCCCACCTTCCTGATGTCTCTCCTCCCGGAAGCCCCCTGATTTGGGCAGGTCTGGCCAACTTCCCAGTGCATGCACCCCCCAAATGGCGTGCCAACCAGGGTCCCCAGCCAGGCACTGCCTCTGCCGTCTCCCTGGGACTCCCTGGAAGCCGCAGAAATGGGCCATTGGCCCCCAAGTGACCCACACCCAGCCCAGGCTCCACCCAGGCCCTGTGGACTGCTGAGGGGACCTGGGGTCCTGGAAAGGTCTGAGTGGGCTCCCCACTTCTCAGGGCTGGGAGACCATACCCAGACCCATCTACTGTCTTTCCCACTGAGGTCTGTGCTCTGAACAGTCTAGGAGCTTCCAGGGACAGGCAGGTGGGTCTGAGCCCTGAGTCACATGCAAAGGACGGGCAGGTGGCCTCCACCTGAGATCTGTGCTGCACCAGCCACCCCCTGGCCCAGCTCTAGAACAATGCCAGGTCTGCTCCATGGTCAATCCTACAGCCCTCGAGGCCCACACCAGCTGGGGCCTTCTCCGCTCACCTGCTCAGGAGGTTCAGTGCCTGCCTGGGGACTTGCCCGGGCAACTCACTGCCTCAGCCTCTGTGCAGAGGGGAACAGCAGGGCCTGCCTCTCGGATGCTGACCCTATCCCAGGCCTCAGGGGTAGCAAGGGGGGCAGTTTCTGCGTGGGGACCGCTGGAGACACTGAGCAGACAGGGCCCCGAGCAGAGTCCTGGCCACAGCTGGGGGCCACTGTTCTGGCAACTGGGTCCAGGGAGGACTCCAGATGCCAACAGGAGGGCCGGTCACAGTGGCAGGCTTGCATGGACAGCCAGTTGACTTGGTACCACGCAAGCCGCTGCTGGGCCTTCGCCCACATGCCTTCAGCTTCTTGCAGTCAGGTCAGTCAGCAAATCTTCCGGATCCTCTGGTGTGGGTCCTGGGTCCTGGGTCCTGGGTCCTGGCAGGGATGGGTTCTGCCTCATACACAGAGAGTGGGTCAGGAAAGCTTCGTGTTCGGGGGCGCTCAGACGGCCGAGAGCCTCTGGGATGGCTGAGGAGTCTCAGGGACACATGGGGAAGAGATTGCTTCGGCAGAGGACAAGGCCTGTGGCAGCAGAGCAGGGAAGTCCACGGCACAGACCGAGAGGTGCAGGGTGTGAGGGACCCCTGTGAGGGCCAGGGTGAGATGCCCAGCACCTGCGGGCACCCCTGGGCCTGGGTGACGGTGGCTGTCTGCATGCAGCAGGGGCAGCAGATTCCAGACCCCAGCCGCCTCGAACAAGGGCCAGTCCAAATCTATCCTAGAGGAAGGACAGCCAGGTGCGTCACAGAGGACCGCCCAGCACAGGTGACCAGGTTGCAAGCCAGACATGAAACCACATCTGAAAAAATGCCCAACCTCGAGGAAGTGTCCCAAGTTCTTTTTTTTTTTTTTGAGACGGAGTCTCCCTCTGTCGCCCAGGCTGGAGTGCAGTGGCCGGATCTCAGCTCACTGAAAGCTCTGCCTCTCGGGTTTATGCCATTCTCCTGCCTCAGCCTCCCGAGTAGCTGGGACTACAGGCGCCCGCCACCTCGCCCGGCTAGTTTTTTGTATTTTTTTTTTAGTAGAGATGGGGTTTCACCATGTTAGTCAGGATGGTCTCGATCTCCTGACCTCGTGATCCGCCCGTCTCGGCCTCCCAAAGTGCTGGGATTACAGGCTTGAGCCACTGCGCCTGGCCCCAAGTTCTTTTTAAGTGGATAAAGGCAGATGGGACTTTCAAAATCACTTGGTGCAGCAGAGCCTGAGGCCTGGCAGCCCTCGAAGGCCCCACGGTGCGCCCGATGGTCAGGGGCTGCAGTGGATGGGGACATGGAGGCTGCGTAGGAGGGACCCAGGAGGCCGGACACCCTGGAGGCCTCTGGGCTTGAGCTTCGCATGCAGGTCAGATGTCTTTTACAGTCAGCTTCAAGAGGTGAAGGAGCCCTACCCCTAGGTGGTCTGGAACGTTCCCATAGCTGCCTGGTGGTGGCCGCCACCCAGGACCCGGGAGGGTACCCGCCATGGGAAGTCCCTACACTTAGCCCCTCTTCAGAGCCCCCACGCCCCCTGCTTTCAGTCCCAGGGGCCACTCCAACGTGGCCATGCCAAGCGATGGTCCCTGCTCCAAGTCCAGCCTGCTGCCTTGCACAGTGAACAGACCGTGAGTGTGGGGGAGGGGAGGAGTGTCCCCCAACACCTCCTGGGGGTCCGACTTACCCTACTGGATGACAGCAGCTGAGGACCAAGGCCTGGCTGGGCCTTGAGCTGGCATCCTCATGATGTCTCTGAGCCTCAGCTTCCCTCCTGAAAAATGGGGAGCATCGCGCTCCCTGCCCCCCAGCGCCACAGGGTCATGGGGGCAGCAAGAGGCAAGATGGATTCCTGCAGAAAGGAAAGGGGCCTTGGGCTCAGAACTGGGAGTCTCAGCTCTGGCCGCTCCTTAGAATCAACCGCAGAGCTTTCAACACAGGCAGCCCTCAAATACACCCACCCACTGGGTCACTGCTGACCCCCCCACTCAGACCACATCTCTCTGGGGCCGGAGCCAGCCCTGGGGTGTTTTAAGGTCACCTGGGTCTCCGTGCTGCACAGCACCTGGGGCCAAACAGGCGGCAGGAGCTCCGTCGCTGTCCCCGTGTGCTGACCAGCTGTGCTTTCGCCTCTCCACACACTTGGGGTCTGCTCTGCTCTCGAAAGCCCCTACAGCAGCCGCAAAGGAGGGGCCTGGTTGGGCCAATGTCAGCAGGGCCTCCTTAGCCCACCCTGACAATGGTACCCCCATTTCTCTGGCAGCAAACGAGGGGGAACTGACCCAGTTCAGTCTCCTGGGGTGCAACGCCTAGGCCGCTCTCCCCTCCGCACCTGCACGTGGCCTCTGAAGAAGAGGGGGCTGCGGGACACGTCTGCCTCTCCCCTCTGCAAACCCGGCTCTGCGGCCCCATCTCCTCTGCTTCCAGGCTCCTTGGCCAGCTTGGGAACAGCCCCTTCATTCAGGGTACCCCTGCCCTCAGGGGTACCCCGGGAACCTTGTCCCAGCTCCCACCACAAGCTGGGACAGGAAGCCCAAAGTGACTCCCACGGGGGAGGCCTGGCAGCACTGCACCCCAATTCGGCTTCTTGGGGTCCTAGCCCCCACCTTCTGATTGGGTTTCTGGAGTGGCTGGGGTGCCCTGCACACAACCTGCCTTCTTTTGTTTCTCTTTAGCCCATGCAATGCCCGCTGTCCGGTGCTGCCCCCCTGACCTGCAGGAGAAGGTCTCCAGGCCCCAGGGCAGCAGATACACTCCTGCTGGGTAGGACCCCTGCCTTCCCCCACTGCCCACACCCACTGGCCTGAAAAAGAGGAATGGGGAGCCCCGACAACTTGTGAATGAAGCTTCTCACCTACTTGCCAGGGGCCCACCCCCTTCCCAGGCTGGTGGGGAGGGGAGGCCCATCCCCCTCATCCCTTGCTTCTCCTCAGCCCCAGCTGTCCATGGGGTACTCCCGGCTGTGGGTGGTGCAGGCGTTGGGAGCTGGGAGGCTGAGGCCTGTGCTTCCCTCAGGTCTGTGCACCCGGCTGCACCATCTGTAACATGGGCTTATGAATGTGCCTGGCTGTTGGGCGGCCTGACGGGTGGACATCGAATGGGCCACTGTCTTCTCTGCTGGTAGAGGATAGAGGCCCCAGGTGGAGATGCTGTCAGCACAGCTGGGGCAGACCAGGGAAGAACCCCCATCCAGGGATCCCCTCCCCTCCCAGGCCGCCCTTCCCAGGCCACCCCTTCAAAAAATGTTGAGGACTGGCCCCCGAGCTAGGGCTACATGGGCCATTACTTCTGGCCTGGGGCTCACAGGCAGAGATGCCAACGGAGGCACACAGGCAGTTGCACCCGATCAGCACTAGGCCTGAGGCCTTCAGGCCTCCCTGTGCCCCACCCCACTCCCACCCACCGGGAGCAGAGGACGTCGTGGTGGGCAGTGTCCTCAGCCTGGGAGCCGCACAGCCCCGCGCTTCCTTCTATGGAAAATCTGCTCCTCCAGGCTGCCGGGCTGCTGTTACATAAACATCTCTGCTGCCTCCAGGCGCCTCCTCTCCTCGGGCGCTGACCCCGAGATGTTACCCCAGGCCTGGAGAAGTGAGGCCAGCTTCTGGGAGGACGCAGGCGAGGGAGGCTCCCAGCAGCAGCTACGAGGGGGGGATAGGCCGTCTGCACTGGCTGTTTCCAGAGTGCTCAGCACTTGGCAAGAGGTGTGCCAGGAAAGGCTCGCTGGAGTCAGGTGTGAGATTTGTCCCCCTTTCTGTGCCTCCCTCTGCCACCATGCTCTGGGGTTTCTGCAGCCACTCCCCCACGCTCCCAGAGTCCTAGGTCCCTCTCAGTCTTTCAGTCTCCCTGCAGGGCAGGCATAGCCCTCCTACTCCAGGAGGGCCCCCAGCGCCTTCTGCCATCGCACTCACCACCCTGTGTTGGAGTGGGGAGGGGGCGCTGTTTGTCCCCAGCACGAGGCCGTGAACTTTGCGCAGGGACTATGGCAGGCATTTTGGACTCCTGGCGCTTAACCAGGCTTGGCACAGGGTGCCCGTGCCTGGCATCGTGGTGGAGAAATAAATCAGCCGGAAGGGGCACGTGGGAGGGGCTGCGCCGGCGCCAGCGGCAGATCCGCCCGACCCGTTTGTGCTTTCCGGGGCCACCTTAGGCAGGCGGCGCCCGGGCAGGAGGAGGACGGTGACCGAGGAGCATGTCGACGCGGGTCCCCCCTGGGGCAGCGGGGCGCAATACGTCCGCGAGGCACTGGTCCTGGCTGCTCCCTTGGGGCGCCCTAAACTCCCTGCCCTGAGGCCGCTGCGCCCCCATCCCTCGCGGTCAAGTGCTCAGGCAATCACGGCCAGGGGTGTCTGGCGGCGATCGATCCTCTGGACGCCTAAAGCCGCGGCCACGGGGCCCTGGGGAGGGAGAGAAGCCGCTGGGCTAGGGGCGCACCCACGGCTAGGCCACTTCTCCCAAAGCCCTGCCCCGGGCCCGGGGTCCCCCAACGTGGCCTCAGCTGCTCCCCGCCCGGCCCAGAGCACGGTGGACACAGCTGCCCGCGGCCTCGCCCTCCCTACTCCACCCCGGGCTCCTCCGCTTATTCACATGCAAATTTCCGTCGCCAATTGTCGCCGAGCGCGGCAACGGCCAGAGCCGGATCCTTCCGCAGCCCCGGCTCAAACTTTTGGCCTCTGAAAACTTTCAAACGAGAAGTAGTCCCAGGCGCCCGCTCCCTACCCACGCCGCGCCGCCGGGTCCCTCCTCCCCGGAGAGGCTGGGCTCGGGACGCGCGGCTCAGCTCGGGCAGGCGCAAAGGCGGACCCGGCCCGCGGGAGGAGGTGGCCGCGGAGGGGGCGGGGGGACCGGTGGGGGCGGGGCCGGGCGGGGCGGGGCCGGTGGGGGCGGAGCGCACCTCGACTCTGAGCCTCACTAGTGCCTCGGCCGCGGGAGGGAGCGCAGGGGCGCGGGGCGCGGGGCGCGGGGCGCGGGTGCGAGCGCAGCGAAGGAACGAGCCGGGCGCGGAGACGGGCCCGGGAGCCCGCGAGAGCACAGCGCCAACTGCCAGCCGGGGAAGAGAGGGCGGGACCGTCCGCCGCCGCCCCGGGACCGTCCGCCGCGCGTGTGCGTCCCAGCCCCGCCGGCCAGCGCAGGAGGCCGCCGTCCGGGCGCAGAGGGCAGCCGGGGGGGGAGGCATGCCGCCGCTCCTGGCGCCCCTGCTCTGCCTGGCGCTGCTGCCCGCGCTCGCCGCACGAGGTAGGCGCCCACCCACCCGCGAGCCCCCACTTTCCGCGCTCTTTGGAAACGGCAGCGCCCGGCGCACGCGTCCCGTGGCTGGGAGCGGGCGGCGGGGAGGTCGGCGTGGAGAGGGAAAAGCGGGCGGCCCGGGGCGTGGGGTTCTTGGAGTCCCGGGCTGGGGGAGGACCGACCCTCCCCCTCGATCCCCCCGTGGAGGCGGACTCGCGCCGCCCGTGCCTGGAGCCGAGTTTGGAGGCCGGCGTGAGGTGCTGGGGTCCCGGAGGCCCTACCCGGGCCCGCCCTTCACCCGCCGCGCGTGGGGCTTGCCGCCGGTCGGCCTGGCGGGCGGGCTGCCTACTACTTTTCGATTTGAATAGAGTCGGTTTTGGTTTCCTGTTGCTTCTCCGGGCCATTTATCTTCTTTCTTCTTCGCTTCTGGCCCACGCCGGGGCGGATGTTGGGGCGCGGAGTGTGGGCTCCGCGGCGCCGCGTTCGCCTTCACTGACCCGCGCGGCCCGGCTGGGTCCCCGGGCTCCCGGTCGCCCCGCCCGCCGGTGCCCCCCAGCCCAGCTCTCAGTTTGGGGGAGGGGTTTGCGTAAGAAGCCTTCGCGCCGGGGGGCACTGAACTTTTCCTTTTGCTTTGCAGAGTTGAAGTTTGGAGAGCTTGGGGGTGGAGAGCGGGACGCGGGTGGGGGGCTCTTACATCTCTCCTCGCCGCACATCGAGGGGGGTCTCTGGGGAATCGAGTGATTAATCCACTCTTTCTCCGAGAGTTGCAGGCGAGAATTATTTGTTCTTGTCCAGAAAGTGCTGCTCTATGTCACACCACCCTCCCCTGTTTCTCAGCCCCCTAAGATGGGGAGGGAGGGGCTTGAGTAATTGATCCCTTCTCGAGATGGGGTCGAATTCCTTTCGAATGGGGGACCTTCATCCCCCTCCTGTGGGTGTTTGGGGGCTGCCCTGGAGATGCGCGCCCGCGGGAGCAGGTATTGGGTGTCGGCGGAGGCGGGGCCGGGTCTCCGGGGTGCAGTCCTGGTGCCCCTGGAGGCGGCCCCGACTCCACAATGGGCCGCTCTGATTCCGAGGCGGAGGCCGGCGCTTTGTTGGCGGGCGGGGCAGCGGGCGAGCAGCTGTCGCATTTTCCCACGGGCGGGAGCTGAGTGTGGCCACCCCCCCCCCGCTTCCCGCCGTCCAGCTCTGCCCCCTTGCAGAACGGGTTTGAACAGAGGCAATCTCGGCGGCTGGATGGGGGGCCCTGCCCTGCCAGCCTCCCCAGTGAGCCTCTGGGGTGGGGGGCAACGCTTGGGAGAGTAGCCCACTTTGTCTCTGCTTTTACCCCACTGCGTCCAGGCGGCACATCAGGCCGCCCCATCCTGCTTCAAGCAGGACGTGTTCCCTGCTGCTCCTCTTCCCCCCATTTCTGACTACAGAACTCTGGGCAGAATGTTGACGCCCTTTGGTTTCATGGTGGGGCTTCCTGTGGTCCCCTGCCCTGGTAACCCATGTCACTGAGTAGAGGCGTCCAGGGTCGGGGGAGGACAGTGCCCCTTGGCTGGGTGCGGGTCCCACCCCCAGGGTAACAAGGGCCTTCGGTGGTGCGGGTGAGACTGACCTCTCTTCTCCTGCCCCTGCCTAGGCCCGCGATGCTCCCAGCCGGGTGAGACCTGCCTGAATGGCGGGAAGTGTGAAGCGGCCAATGGCACGGAGGCCTGCGTGTGAGTACCACCCCTGCGGGACCTGTTGCTTTGTTGAGGGCAGAGCCCCTGCCTTCTGCAGCCGCGCAGGGGACAGAACACTAGGGCATTGTCTTCCGGAGATGGCCCAGAGTCTGGGCACGGTCACGTGCTGACTTTTATTGGACAAAGTCTGGCAATTACTTAATCACCAGCAATTATGCTGCGTGTGGAGCTGGTCTGACTGCTGGGGGCTTAGGCACTCCTCTGTGGGCCACCTCAGGCTCCTGGGTTACTAAGTGGGAGTCCCAGTACCCCAATTCTTCATAAAGTCCCCAAGAAACAGTTGATCTGTCAGGGGAAGCTCTGGACCATTTACTGAGAAGCCCAGACCCCACCACCCTGCCAACTTGGGGCACCTCCTCTGGGTGGGTGATGCCTCCTGGGCAGGTGATGATGCCTCCTGGGCACAGGTGATGCCTCCTCTCCAGGGGTGATGCCTCCTGGGTGGGTGGTGATGCCTCTTGGGCTGGTGGTGATGCCTCCTCTTGATGGGTGATGCCTCCTCTGGGCACAGGTGATGCCCCCTGGGTGGGTGATACCCTCTATGGGTGGGTGATGCCTTCTGGGCTGGTGGTGTTACCTCCTGGGCACAGGTGATGCCTCCTGGGCTGGTGGTGATGCCTCCTCTGGGTGGGTGATGCCTCCTCTGGGCACAGGTGATGCCACCTCTGGGTGCATGATGCCTCCTCTGGGTGGGTAATGCCTCCTCTAGGCACAGGTGATACCTCCTCTAGGCAGGTGATGCCTGCTCTGGGCAGTTGGTGATGCCTCCTGGGCGGGGATGCCACTTCTGGGTGGGTGATGCCTTCTCTGGGCGGGTGATGCCTCCTCTAGGCACAGGTGATGCCTCCTCTGGGTGGGTGATGCCTCCTCTGGGTGGGTGATGCCCCCTCTGGGCGGGTGATGCCTCTTTGAAGGAAATTGACCCTTCACAATTGGACCCGCCTTTGGGCTCTTGTTTGCCCCAGCTCCCTCCTCCCGGCCTCAGGCTGGGGCTGGGGAAGAGAAGGCGGAACTCATCTTTTGGCGCGGGGTGTGGGGTAATTATTGAGTCTGGTTTCTGTCCTGGCATCTGCAAACTCTGACCTCCAAATCCCGTGGCCCTTTTGGTCTGCCAGGCTCAGATGTAAAATGGGCATGGAGGGGGCTGGGAAGTCGCAGGGAACCGCTCCCTCCTGCCTGCCTGTGAGTGCCAGTCGGCGGTGGGGAACTGTTCTGCTGTGGCCGATGCCCTTCAACTTGAGTCCATCCCTGATGAGAATAATGAGGAGGTGTTTGGTGGCTGGAAAAAGAGTTCCCTCCACCCCCCAGGAGCTACAGATGAAGAAATGGCTCCCCAGCCAGTCTGCGCGCCCTCATTCCAACTGTAGAAGGTCCCATTCCCTTGACAACCCCAGCCCGGCTCCTGCCTGCGCCGACTGCCCAGCCTGTGGGCAGCAGCCCCCCTCCCTCCCCGGCCCCCACCCTCCCCAAACTGAAGCCAATTAAGCAGGTCCGTGAGCAGTTTAATGGACAAAGCCGGCTGTGTCTTTGTCAGACACTAATGAATGCGCACACTACTTTTTTTTTTTTTTTTTTTTTGCTTTTTGGGGCCCCCTTCTCCCCCTGCAGAAGCCGCACGGACGCTTGATGCCCTAAATCTTGTTTCCTTTCATTCAGAGACCGACAGCTGGGATCCAGGGGAAGTGCAGCAGCTATTGTTGGGGGAGGCGGATTAATGCCGTGTGATTAATTATGCGTGGCTTCCCAGAATGTATAACCCCGTTCCCCGCCACCGCGCTCCCGGCTCGGACTTTGCCTCCACCCATTCAGGTCTCTGGGAGAAGCTTCTTGCTCCTGCAGAGGACTTTGGGAGGGTGGGAGGAATGCCGTGCTGGGAAAATTGGGGGCCTGTTGCTTCTTCTCAGTGGCACTAGGCAGTAGGCACAGCCTGGCCCACAGGGGTCTGGGACTGAGGTCTCCACAGGCCAGAGGGCTGTGCTTTGGGGTACAGATGGCTGCAGCTCCCTGATGTCTGGGCTAAAACCCTGCCACAGGGCCGCAAAACACTGGTGTCATGGGCCCACTCTCCCATTCCCCAAACCTGGGATCCTGGTGAGCTGTTTCCTGCCCAAGGCAGGCCGCTGACCAGGGCTTTGGTGCCTGGCCTTGTCCCCTTCGCTGGGGCCTGGCGCCCCCTCCTTCTTGGCGGGAAGCCTGCTTCAGTTTGGCCTGACAGGCAGCCGAGCTCAGCCCACAGAGACCCCATTGTGCACACCCTACAAGTCCAACGAGAAGATGGGACGGAAGTGCGTCCTCAGGCTCCCGCCTCTGGGCTGCAGGGTTGGAGGCCAGGGCCACAGCCGGGCCCGGCTTGCGGAGGCACAGGTCAGGGCTCACACAACAGTTTGGGGAGCATTGCGGCCGCTTCGGGGAAGGCCTCAGGCTCCCTCCCTGGCCTTGAGCCCCACCCAACGTACACCCCTCAGGCGCCTCTGCCTTCCCATTCCTGCTTGTCCTTCTCAGAAGGCCCAGGAGGTCTGTCCAGGAGTTGGCCAGGGCACCTGCAGGAAGCCTGGCTCTCCCAGCAAGGGGAGAAACCCACACTGTTTCTCGAAAGCATTTGGGGTGCAGGCTCTTGGAGCCCTGCCAGCCTGCGTGTGAATCCCGGCCCCGTGGTATCCAGCTGTGAGCCCGGAAAGAGCTTTGATTTTTGGTGCCAGTTGCTACTTCTGCTGTAGAAGGGGCATGATCTTGCTGGGGGTTACAGTGCCTGGCACACTAGTACTGGGTGAATCATTTCTTTCCACCCCAAGTGAAGGAACCTTCACCGGAAGCTGCCAATCAGGTGGCTGCAGAGCTCGGGATTGGAAAAAGTGGTTTTGTTGGTGCAAAATGCCTTCCCAGGAGGTCAGAGTGTCACTGTGGCCTGGTCAGCCAGTGGCCAGGTAGAAAACACCCGGGTGGAGGATGCTTGGTCTCTGGGCACCTGCTGTGTGCGGTGTGGCCGTGGTGGCTGTGGTCGGAGATAGTGGCCTTTTGAGCAGGCCCAGGGGGTCACTGTGGCCCTTGGCTCTTCTCCAGCCCCCTCGTCAGCTCCATCAGTGTGAGCAGGGGATACTGAAGGGGGCTCCCCCTTTTTTGCCTTTGTTTTGAGGAGAGGCGGGAAGAGCTGCAGGGACCTTACCTGTCTGGGTGAGACTGTGTCCTTGGTCTGAAATGCTCTCCCAGGCTGCCTGGGTCTGGGCTGGGCGTCGAGGCAGGGGGCGGCTAGGATGTTGCCTGCTGATGGCAGAGTCAGAATTGCACATGGCGTCTTCCAGGAGCTGGGAGAAATGAGGGTAGGCTGTCACACCCAGCACCTCCAGGAGGATGTCCAGCTGCCTGCTGGTTGGTGGGCTTTAGCTTTGGACAACCTTGTGTCTGAGACCTGACCTGGCCACCCACTAGCTCCGTGACCTTGGGTCATCAGGTCATGCAAGCCTCAGTTTCCCCAGCGTGTCAGCCAGGCTGATACACACTGGATCTCTTGGTGGTGCGTGAGGATGGCATGAGAACCGTGTGGAGAGGGCACCTGGTCGGTACTCCTTTCCTTCCCGCCTTCTCCCCGTCGGCTGCCAGCGCTGGTTTCCAGAGCCTCCTTCCTGAATGTTTAATTGATTGATGAGTGAATTCAGAGACTCCTAAAGGTGCTGCCTGGTGGGCCGGGCCTGGCACTACCTGGGGAGGGACTTGCCGGCTCCGGGGAAATCCATCTCCCAGGATGGCTCCGGCTCCGGGGAAGTCCATCTCCCAGGATGGCTTCAGTTCACAGACGCGTTTGAGCGCCTGCTGTGCACTGTGTTCTGCTCCAGGGCAGGCCCCTGGTGGGGACAGGGCAGACACGGCCCCTGCTGCCCTGCTCCCGTGAAGTTGACTTCCCAGCAAGGGGTGAGAGAGACACCTGGCTCACGTGTGGGACATGTTGGAGGTGTACCGGCTCGGCGGTGGCCTGGCATAGCTCCTGGCAGCCCCGTAAAGCTGTCTGGATCAGGCACCGGTAAGTGAGAGGAAGAGACCCAGAGAAGTCGCCATCGGCCCCAGGGTCACACAGCAGCGGCAGAGTTCCTACCAGCCCTGCCCCTCTCCATCTCCCAAGCGAATGTCCCTAACCACAGCCCCAGCCTGCCCCGTCACTTCCCGACTACAAGCGGGCTGGGGGCGTGGCTTCCCCTTAAAAGAGGAGGAAGGAGGCTCAGGCGGGAAGTGACTTGGCCCTGCAGCCGGCCTGGGAGGGACGGGGTGTCTCCTGTCACCCGGTCTGGCTGTTTCCATTGAGTCACCTGCCTTGTCTTGGGTGCGGCCAGGGGAGGAACAGGTTGATTCTCCTCCTCGTGCTGAGCTGAGCGGAAAGGTCTGTGACAGGACCTCCTGTTTATGCAGAACCTGGTCTTCAAGGGCGCCCCGGTTAGAAAAACATGTTTAAAAACATGCAGCGTCCGAGGAGTTCAGATCACCTGAGGTCAGGAGTTCAAGACCAGCCTGGCCAACATGGCAAAACCCCTGTCTCTACTAAAAATACAGAAATTACCCAGGCGCAGTGGCATGTCTGTAACACCAGCTACTTCGGAAGCTGAGGCAGAAGGATCCTTTGGGGATCCTTTGAACCCAGGAGACGGAAGCTGCAGTGAGTCGAGATCGTGTCACTGCACTCTGGGCCTGGGCAACAAAGTGAGACTCTGTCTCAAAAAAACAAAAAAAGCAAAAAACAACACACACAAAAAACCCAGGCAGTGTCAAATAGAAAGTCTCACCTACTCAGACTGGGGAGACTTCAGGAACAGGAAGGCCTGGGGCAGAGACTGGGGTGGGAGCCTGGAGAGTTCTGAAGGAAGCTGGCTCCTTGGGGCAGGCCCCGCCTCTGAACAGCGGCCAACATGTTTTCCATTGAAAAAAATAATAGAGCAAGAGAGAGAGAAAGAAAACAGCGATCCTGGCAGGAAGAGGGTAGGGCAGGGCAG